TCTCTTTCCTTCTCTCTGTTCTATAACTCTGTCTCTCAAATAAATAAATCTCCAAAAAATAAAACCAAGAAGGTAAATGGATATAGAATGAAGACTGAGCCTTGAGGGTTTGGCAAAAAACCTGTTCCAATTTCCTTGCACAATTCAGGAGTTTTCAGGATTTTTCTGATGGAAGGGATTTCAGATTGCCTGGCTTTCTGCTGGTTGGCCCTTTTAAAGCAGTCTAACTCAGTAAACATTTATTTAGTGCCAACTTTGTGCAAGAAAACTAGAAACAGCTACATGGGACATACAAACTGGGTAAAAAGTAATTTCTGTTTCTCAACTTATGTCATTTAGCCTCATGAAGAGCTGTTCCACAGGGAGGAGAAAAAAGATCTAAAAATAATAATCAGAGTGAGATAAGAAAGAACTGCAAGAAACAATGTCTCCGGTTTGGCTGAAGGGCTATTATCCTGCCTTATCGGCATTTGGGGTCCCTAGGAGACTTGCAATGGGCACTTACTAAACACTAGTTGACTTATTGACATTGTAAAGAGAGAGCTCAGATAACAAAGCATCTAAGTAAACTCTGTACCACAACAATCCTATGAGGAGTCTCCCCGGGGTTCTCATAGCACACTATGTGTTGGTAACTCCTTCTGGAAAGTCAGGAAGCATCCTTCCTCTTTTGGGGGCCTTTTCCTTTTAAAACTCCTCTGTTCCATGCGAGCACTTTAGCAGATAAACTCTTTATGTTTCTGAGCTGCTGTCTCCTCTGTAATGCCCTTCTGGTCCAGCTAGAGTGCCTCTAATCCAGCTTTCATCTGCTCAAGGGCCTGCTGGCAGCTGCTGGCCCCCTGTGTTTAACAGTGGCCGGTCCTTCCTCGCCCTGCAGGGCTGCTGTGGCCTGGGTGAGCCAACACCCTCCTGCTGTCCCCATGGGTGCCAGGTATCTGCTCAGTGGCTGATGTTGTATCACTCACAGGTGAGGCAGGTGGCCAGGCGTGAAGCTTGGGAGACCATTGTCTGGCCAGTGTTCCCGTGTGTCACAATTCCCTTCTAGTTGCAACTGGAAGGCTAACTCTTCATTGAAGATCCTGCTGAAATGTTAGTTCTTCACAGAGGCTATCTTTGACCACTGCACCTGGATAGATCTTTCTGTCAGCCTTCCCTTCACCATGGTTTCCCTCTTGATCCATAGCCCGTTACATTTTCTTCATGGTACACCTGGCTTTCTGGAGTCATTGGTTATACTGAGTTGCTTACTTCATCACTGTCTCTCTAACCCACCTAGGGGATGCCCCACAAGCACAAGAGTGTCACACGTCTTGGGCACTGCTGCATTCTCAGGAGCACAGGCAGTGCCCACCACAGAGCAGACGCCTTACCTCGCCATAGTCGCCACATCTAGACATCGCCCATGCTTGCTATTTATGAGAGTTCTGTTTGTCACTGCCTTGTTGGATCTCGCTTTTTATTGTATCACCAGCAGCTGGGTCATAAACAAGTCTTTGATCCCAAGTTTATGGAAGATCAGGCCCTGTGCCTGGCATATGTCACTGGAGGAGTCACCAGTGCAGGTTTTCAGACTAAGTTTAGTGGAAGAACAGGAGGATCTTTGATCCTGAGTAATTTAGGTACTTTATTTTGTTAATGTGATGTAGAACTAGAAAGGTCTTTTGAATTTTTAAAAATCCTTGTTGGGGTAAAACGTGCTACATGAAATAGATGAAATATATATATGTTCAAGGACTGGCACGGTGGCACAGTAGGTTAAGCCACCACCTACGATGCCAGCATCCTATTTTGGAGTGCAGGTTAAAGTCCCAGATGCTCAACTTCCTATCCAGCTTCTGGTTAATGCACCCAGGAAAGCAGCAGAAGATGACCCAAATACTTAGGTTCCTGATACCCGTAAGGGAGACCCAATGGAGTTCCTGGCTCCTGGCTTCAGCCTAGCCAGACCTGGCTGTTGCAGGCAACTGGCGAGTGAGTCAATCGATGGAAGATCTTTCTCTCAGTCTCTCCCTCCCTCCATTGTTCTGCCTTTCAAATAAAATAAATAACTAAATACATGTTTAAAAAATAAGTAAGCAATAAAAACAATTCAGGGTTGTTGCTTATGAGGACTGAATAGGATGGGAATTTCTAAGACATTTTCCTCCTGAAGTGTTATTTTATTTGTTCGTTTGTTTTATTTGAAAGCCAGAGGCACAGAGAAAGATAGAGTCAAAGTGGTCCAATCCACTGGTTCACACCCAAAATGCCCACAACAACCTGAATCTGGGCCAGGATAAAGCCAGGAGCCAGGAGTGCAATCCAGGTCTCTCATGTGGGTGGCAGGGCCCCAAGTGCTAAATTTCAGTGAAGAATGAGGTGTACAGTTTGCAAACTGCTTTGGGAGACATTGCACAGGAAATGATTTTCATTTTTTGAGCAGAACAACAGGAAACAAGGCTTAGTCTTACAAAAGTAAGAAAAGCAACTAAGCATAATATTCCTCCTTTAGGAGCTATCATTATTCCAGGAAGTATTAGCATCTCCCATGATAAGGGAGTAATCTTTGCTATCAGAGATATACCCAAGTAAGACATTGTGATAAGAAGATGATATTCCATATTTTGTCTCAGTTTTACTTGACAATATTTTATACATTGCTTTTGAAATTGATCATATCTGCTAATCACCATTCAGATGCATCGAGAATCTACTCTTTCTTTAGTAGAATGCATCTGACTCCCTGGGTCAAAAACTGTTCTTATCTGTGGCCATTTCTCTTGTCCCTTTTTCTTTTCATTGGAATTAATGATGGTAGAAATACAGGATTATTTACTTTAGAATCCAATCTTTTCTTAAATAATTCTTACTCTGTAGACTTGGCCACTTACAAAATTAGAATACCCCGACTTTGACCCTGCAGGAACTATGCACCATGAGGATCAGAGAGGGCGGGTGACAGAATGGAAACTTTACTTGAATTCTTGGCATATTGCAATTCTACATTGCTTTTCTATATTAATTTAATTTCCTTCTAGAATGAAAGTTGGCAGTCATCGAGGGAAGTGTTAGTGGAGGTTGGAATCAGTGCAGTTGAAATGTATATGAAGGTCCCTAATCCATAGATTATTGACAAAATGAACTCTAAAACCTTTCATAATCCGGCCACTATGTAATGACAGCCTGCATTTAGAGAGCTTTAGCACACAGGTCCTGTATGTAATATCAGCTCCACTTTATTGTAGGTAGGAGTTTGCATGTTTCAGCTGCACTGCACCGTTACTGCAGAATGAGTGTTCACCTGGCACATGCCAGCGACCACTCATTATAGCAGAAAACGAACCCTTTATTTCTACATGCTTTATTTCTCCCTTTACAAATAGGATCTACCAAACCACAATATGCTGCATTTTCCTCCAACTTTCCACCATGGTAGAAGATATTGTATGATTTCTAAGAACAATAAAGTAACTTGAGTCAACATTTCATTGTTCACAAATGACAACAAAATAAAATTGTTGCTGCGAATTTTTGTTGCTACATTTCTGCCCTCAGGGAAATTGAATATCCCAGCTGGCAAGTGGGGGCATTCTAACACCTTTCTCTTAAGATTTTATTTTTTAACATTTATTTTTATTTTATTTTCATCCACTTGAAAGGAAGGGCAAGAGCAAGAGCAGAGAGAGAGAACCTCCATCTGCTAGTTCACTCCCCAGCTGACTGTAATCACCAGGGTTTGGCCAGGTCAAAGCCAGGAGCCCTTGCCAGAAGCCAGGAACTTCAACCAGGTCTCCTGTGTAGGTGGCAGGAGCCTGATCCTGTGAGCCTTCATCCACTGCCTCCTAGGATGCATTAGCAAGAAACTGGATTGGAAGAAGTGAAGCCAGGATTCAATCCAACACTCCAATATGGGATATAGATGTTCCAAGTGGTGGTTTAACCCTGTGTACCACAACGCCTGCCCTCTATTTTTTTTTAAAGATGCAATTTGTTTTTATTTTTTTTGTAATTCTCATTCTAGTATTCCGGGATATTACTTTGAAGATAATGACGATGTCATTAATTTGGTTAATCATTAATTTGGTTAATCTTTTATTTTTTTTAAAGATTTATTTATTTATTTGAAAGTCAGAGTTACACAGAGAGGAAAGGCAGAGAGAGAGAGACAGAGAGGTCCCCTGTCTGCTGGTTCACTCCCCAAATGGCCACAACTGCCGGAGCTGTGCCAATCCGAAGCCAGGAGTCAGGAGCCTCCTCCTGGTCTCCCACGCGGATGCAGGGGCCCCAGGACTTAGGCCATCCTCCACTGCTTTCCCAGGCCACAGCAGAGAGCTGGATAGGAAGTGGAGCAGCTGGGTCTCGACCCGGCATCCATATGGGATGCTGGCGCTTCAGGCCAGGGTGCTAACCCTCTGGGCCACAGCACTAGCCCCTGCCCTCTATGTTAGTGCTGAAATGCACAGAGGCTTCTGTGCTGGCTGGGTAGCAGCAGAGCAGACACAGAGGGCCTGTCCCGACCAAGGCTACATTTCTTTCCAGTTAGATCAAAAGTTTCAGATTTATTATCAGATGTGGCATGGATGATCCAAATGAAAACAAATGCCCTTGAGTTTAAAAATAGAAGTTAAAAAAGACTAAATATTTGCACTTGAAAAGGAAAAGAAAATAACAGAAATCTCTGCAGCAGACCATTCCTTGAAATTATCCTCACTAAATTGTAATCATACACTTTCCACTCTCTATAATTAAACATTAGGTTTCATCTGTTCCAGATGCATTTGTTTTAAGTTAGTCTGAATGTCCATCCTTATTTTGGTCATTATAAATTTATTTCAAGTTTGTGGCTTACACATGATTGGACATATTTACAGGTTTTTAAGTGACTCTTAATGATACCATTTTTAATAGTATAGTTTCCAAGGCATATTTACATGAATAAATGTGATCTTAAATTTCATAACATGTAATGTATATAAGAGCTTGAATATGTTTTTTACCAATATGTTCCCATGTTTCTGCAGGAATTTGTAGGGTCTTGGTTGTTGGTGACAGAGAGGTGGGGAAGTTTGCATTGAGCATATTACCACAGGTAGGTAGAATGGCTGACTGCTGTTTTGAGGAATCGACAGTGCTGAGAAATGTCACAATGCCCTCATCAGTGCCATGCTTTGCTTTCAGAGAGCCTTGGACAGTTACATAAAAACTCAAAAGAACTTTTTATTTACAAGATTAGAAAATTCTTTGCATTGGTGAGATGCCATAATGAAATAGCTGTCTATAAGTATTGAAGGTGTGGGTGACCAAAGTTAAGTCACCACTTGGGATGCCTTCATCCCTTATCAGAGTACCTGGGTTTGACTCCTGTCTCGTCTCCCCACTTCAGCTTGCTGCTACAGCACACCTTGTGTGGCAGCCTATGATGGCCTGGTAGCTGAATCCCTGACAGCCGTGTGCAAGACCTAAATTGAGATCCAGACTCCTGGCTTTCTCCTGGCGCAGCTCCAGCTCTTCTGGGCATTCGAGGAGCAACCAGTGAATGGGAGCTCCCTCTCTCAGTTTCTCTGCCTTTCAAATTAAAAAGTAAATTGTATTAAAGGCAGACTTTCTAGTGGTTTGAAATATTTCCATACACTTAAGGCAAGATTCTCATTTAGGCTTTGTAGTTGAATACATTTAAAAACTTCTTATAAGTAGTAAAAAATTAACCAGATTTATTCACTTATTACTCATGTTTCTGGAATTTCAAATAATAGACTTTTATGTTCACCAGGTTGACCAATGCTTTAACCAAGACTGGTGCATTGACTAGTTGGCCTTATGTAATTGCTCATAAATTTTTCAAAATGACAGTCATGGAGCTGCTGCAGACCCCTGGGGCAGGTGTCATTGGCTCTGAGGCATTCTGTGCTTTTTGTGGTGTTGGAGGTCAGCCTAGATGTCTCCTTGATACAATGATAAATTATTCAAGCTTCCTTCCATTTTTTACTTTGCTTTTGACTTGACCATTTTACAATCACAAGTATTTCCAGAAGGATATCCCAGGTCATTTGGCCCTTTATTGTAACTATATTGAAGCCTCCACAGAATAAAAAAAGAGTTCAAATTAATGCCGAAAATTATATCTTAGAACTACTTATATGTTTCCAGTTACCTTTCATTTGCTGTACTCCCTATTCCATGTGGAACAATAAAAAATACTTCATATCTATCCATTGGCATTATTTAGAGATTGGTCTACAATTCAGCCTCTGCAGTCCATACTTCCCACTTTCTCTGGATCATTAGGAGACTAGATTGGAGAGGTTGAGGGCTGGAGTGGTAGAATCAGCAAAGAAAGCAAAGGAGACCAGTGGAAGAAGCAGCTTCCACCATCAAGTCCTAAAATAGAAAAAGAAATCCTTTGTGTACATCTCTTGGGCTATTGTGTTTACCTGCTTACTAGAAAGTGGGCAGCAAATGTTCCAATCTATTTTTTTTTAGAAAAAATTTCTTTATTGATTTATAAGAGATATTACATATAGTCTAGATGTGAGTTCTTTGTGGGCTTTAAATATGTCAAATATCTTCTCCCACTGTACATCTTGCTTTTTTATTCTTTTTTATTTTTATTTTTTTATTTAATAACTTTTATTTAATAAATATAAATTTCCAAAGTACAATTTTTTGAATTGTAGAGGCTTTCCCCCCATAACCTCCCTCCCACCAGCAAACCATCCCATCTCCCACTCCTTCTCCCATCCCATTCTTCATCAAGATTCATTTTCAATTATCTTTATACACAGAAGATCAACTTAGTATATACTAGGTAAAGATTTCAACAATTGCACCCACACAGACACACAAAGTATAGAGTACTGTTTGAGTAGTAGTTTTACCGTTAATTCACATAGTACAACACATTAAGGACAGAGGTCCTACATGGGGAGCAGGTACACAGTGACTCCCATTGTTGATTTAACAATTGACACTCTTATTTATGATGTCAGTAATCACCCGAGGCTCTTATCATGAGCTGCCAAGGCTATGGAAGCCTCTTGAGTTAGTCAACTCCGATCTTGATTAGAAAAGGCCATATTCAAAGTGGAAGTTCTCTCCTCCCTTCAGAGAAAGGTACCTACTTCTTTGATGGCCTGTTCTTTCCACTAGGATCTCACTCACAGAGATGTTTCATTTAGGTCATTTTTTTTTTTGCCAGAGTGTCTTGGCTTTCCATGCCTGCGAAACTCTCATGGGCCTTTTAGCTTCCACTCTAATATTTAAAAGATTCTTCCTTTAGGGCCTCTACTCATTTACCTTTACTCCCACACCAACTCATTGAAGTGTAGTGTTTCTAGGTAGTTTGACACAGAATGTGTGTGTGTGTGTGTGTACACATTCATATGATGCAAACTAATTACATTAAAGTTATTCACCTCCCCATACCCAAGCCCTTCCCCACCTTTGTTAAGCATGGAACACAGGGTTCATCTTTAGACAATTACATTTCAAGAATAGGTTCCCTTTTAACCTGGGACACAGCAGTATTCCAGCAAAAAGTTAGGTCACATCACCAATAATGTATTTTCCAAAGATTGGGGAATATGAAATCATTGGGTCACTTTTTTCTCACTTCAGTCTTGGCAGGATATGAAAGTATGTGCTGAATGTGAAGAAAGCCTTTGACAGCATGAATAATATCAGAATTTGAGATCAGCATCTATATGCTTGGTTTCATTAGAACCTTGCAATCGGAACAGTCAATCTTCTCAGTAATCGGGATGACACCATTGAGTTTTTCTGGGTTATTACTAATTGTGCAGCCAAGTTGACTGACCTGTCTAGCAAAATAAAAATATTTGGAATCATCCTAGCAGCTTTCTGCTTGTGTTTGAACTAGAGCTTCGGTTGGAGAAAAGCAGCAAGGCTTCTTGCTGTACAGACACATTTCCTACATTATCCACCAGATGGCCAGGAGAAAAGGAGCTGCTAAAAGTACAGTTCGGCTGCATGCTATTTCATTTAAACTTCAGATCTAGAGAAGCTCTCGAAACTTAGAAGTAACACGAAGAAATGAAAGGAGAAGTTATGCCATTAGAGGGCACTTTTGTAATCATAGAAGTCTGTTCTTAGAGACTGAGTTACCCAAGACTTAAAAAGGAATTTCCAGTTGTTTATTTAGAGGGAACAATTCTGAAATTGTTTGTCTAAGAGCAAATATTTTATTTATAAGGGGAAAATCGGAAATATTAAAACCATCATTGAAGCAATATCTAAATGAAGCTTCAAGTTTTTGATCAGTGAATGAATGTAAGTTGTAAAAATATGCAGAGTGTATCTGTGAAGTAGTTTTTTTCATTAGTTACATTTAATGCTTCTTTTAAATACATTCTTCAAATGCCTGGCTATTGTGTCCAATTGAGAAGTAAACAGAGAACAGGATATTTCTCTCTCTCTCTCTCTCTCTCTCTCTCTCATCAACTTTCAAAATAAATAAAATTAATGTTAAATATTTTCTGCTAAAAATTCATTCTACAACCAGATCAAGTTGAACAAATGACTAATATTCTGTGATATCTGATTAAGCTTTTCCTCAACAATAATTGAATGTTATTAGATAACTTTTTTTAAAAGATTTATTTTATTTATTTGAAAGACAGAGTTACAGAGAGAGATGGAGACACAGAGAGAGGTCTTCCATCCACTGGTACACTATCTAGATGGCTGTAATGGCCAGAACTGAGCCAATCCGAAGTCAGGAGCCAGGAACTTTTTCCTGGATCTCCCATATGGGTGCAGGGGCCCAAGGATGTGGGCCATCTTCTACTGTTTTCCCAGGCCAAAACAGAGAACTGGATTGGAAGAGCAGCAGCCAGGTCTTGAACCGGTGCCCATATGGGATGCCAGCACTTCAGGTCAGGGCTTTAACCTGCTGCGCCACAGCACCGGCCCCTAGATAATGTTTTGAAAACCATAACCTGACAGAATTTAAATTTCTGGGATTTAGAGTCATATTAATTTTAAACACTTTTATTAAAAATATCTGCTTTGCCTATAATTGATGTGGCAGTTAAGATGATTAAAACTGTTTCAGAAACAAAAAGTGTAACTTGGTAGATTTTTAGTTGGAGAGAAGTAAGTATTTTCAAAGAAGAAAGAACAAAGATAAAGTTGAGTCTATTCCTTCTTGGTGATAATCTATATAAAATAATAATTTAAATAAAGATGTCTACCTTAGCTAATAAAAGAGATAAACAAGTAAAATAATATGTAAAGCTTAGTTTCAAGAACTGTAGGGGTTTTGAAATTTTCCCCTACCTGCAAGTGAGTGAATAAGCCTACAGCAAGGCACAAGGCTCCTGGGTCAGAGACAAAGGCCTATATTACTCAAAATAATAGTGGTGGGCACAGAATCAGCGCTTTCTTCCACTGGCTCCTTGACTAAATGATGGTGCAAAGAGGGCCAGATGAAGCCAGCCTGTGGAAGTAGGTTCTATGATAGGAGAGGAGCCTCAAATGTAGGGAACCCAAACCTTTTCTATTGGGTAGGAACCAGGACTGCTCTTTGCTGTATCCAGAGGCTTTATCTTCCAAGGCTATTTGCTGAACAAACAACCTTGAAAAGATGATGTAGAACAGACGAGTCAGTGCTTTTACCCACAAGACAAACAAAAACAGAGACCCAGGGAGAATTGCCTTCTAGCACTCCACTCTACATAACTCTTAAAATCCGAAATTGTTTACTGATGTTAAAGTGCTAAGAAGCTAATATGGAAATATACATTAATCTGATTTATGATATTTATATACTGTTAAATTATATTTGTTAAATATTTAAAAGGCAGAGAGAGAGAGAGAATCCAGAGTTCCATCTGCTGCTCCACGTTTAAATGCTTACCATGGATGTGCCTGGGCCATGGCAAGAGCCAACTGCAATGCATGCAAGCCAGGTCTCCCCAGTAGGGGACAGGAATCTAATTACTTGAGCCATCACCACTGCCCCCAAAGGATCAGCATTGGCTGGAAGATGGTATCAGGAGCAGGAAGTAGTTATAGACCCATACATTTCAATGTGGGATGCAGGCATCTTAACCTTTAGGCTAAACACCTGCTCCCTCATTTGCCATGCTTTAAGTCACCCATATGAATAGTTCATATTTTTCTCAATAGTATTTATTTTGTGACTTACCTGTCTAAGCCTATTGACTCATCTTTAAAATGAGAAAAATAGGAGCAGGCATTGTGGCACAGCAGGTTATGTTGCTGTTTCGGATACCTGCAACCCATATCAGAGTGCTTAGAATCAAGTCCCACTTCTGCTTCTGATACAGTATCCAACTATTGCACCTGGGAGACAACAGATGGTTCAAGTACTTGGGTTCCTGCTACCCAAGTGGGAGACCCAGATGGAGTTCCGGGCTCATAGCTTCAGACTAGCTCGGCCTCTGCTGTTGTGAACATTTAGGGAATGAACCATCTGATAAAAGTTTCTCTCTCTCTCTCTCTCTTTCTCTGTCTCGCCCCTCCCCCCATCTCTCTCCCTCTGTCTCTATCATACTCTTTCTGTCACACACAGTGCATTTCTAATAAATACATGAAAACATTGCCTATTTCACAGGTTGCTGCTAGCATTAGATGAGATAATATATAAAAAGCACCCAGAAGAAGGCCTGGCATGCAGCAAGTCTACAAAATATTTATTAATATTGACATTCTCTCAAAATTCAGCTCTGGTAATTATCTGATTTCATAATGAGAGAGCTCTTCAACGGGCAGTTGAGGACACTGGGAAAATTCCTGCTAATCGTGACTAGCTGCTTCTCTGACTCTGGGGCTGACCTAAATATCCCAAGGACCCTGGGGCGCCAGGAGCTCATCCTGTGAAGTTGTGCAGTGGCACTGTGAAGCTGACAGCTGTATGGGCACACTTGGAGCCTAACAAGGGGAGGCTGCACTTGACTGACACCAGGGCAAACACGCCTGACTCCCTCACACTCAGGTGCTCCCACAGCATGTTTGCTCCAAGCTCCTACTAGGTATGGAAAGGACTTTTTTTTTTTTTATTGTGTGTCCTCTTTTGCTCTCAGGAGACAAGTTTAGGGAATGGTACTACAAGGGAAGTAAATGGAGTATGTTTTCTTGTGGGGTAATAGCAGTATTTCTGATCAGGCAGAAGAGGAAGAAAGAGGATGGCGAGTGGAGACCTCATCTACTTCAGTCCCCCACGTCCCTGTGTGTTTAGGATAATTGAGCTTTGATTTTGTGGACATAGCCTTGTCTCCTCTTTGTAAAACTCATGTGAGCTTCTACTTAACTCCCCAGCTCCCTTTGGCTTTCTCCTTGATAGTTTTCTGCATTTTGGAGGAGGAGATTGTTCTGTGAAACGAAAGGAGGCCTGGTCTTATTCCTAAATGGCCAGCTTGTTCAGAAGAGGAGGTTAATATTCAGTGGCAGAATCATTGCTCATTTTTAGAGTGTAGAGACCATCTGTCCAAACCCTTCAGAAACCAAGGTCTACAAACATCAAGGGAATTGCCTAAGATCTTCTAGTTAGAAGCTGAAACTAAATCTCGAGTTTCTGAGTACTGGGTCAAGTTCAATTACAATAAGACATAAAGATGGAGACTAGGAGCCTCTTGTAAGAAATTATTATGGCTTTCTTAAGAGATATCACTTGGGCTCTGCAGTGAGTCCCACCTGGATTTGTGTCCTTTCTCTAAGTATATGATGGAAGTTCGTTTTCATCTAAAAGCAATGCCTACTTTACAGGATTACTGTGAGGACAAATGTGGCAATGCAGTTCGTGAACTTAGTGCAGAGCTTTGCACTGTAACTCTCAACACTTCAGACACTTTGTATGGAAAACTGCAGAACACAGGGAAAAGATATTTGGAAAAAGGAAATTAAATGAACTTTTTGAGCAAACTCACTGAAAAAAATAACTATTTCTAACACCCTCATTAAAATTGAGAAAAAAATCCAGGCAGGCATTTGGTATATGGTTAGGACATTGTTGGTTCGAGTCCCAGCTCCACCCCTGATTCCAACTTTCTGTTGATGTGTACCCTGAGAAGCAGTAGGTGATGGTTTAAGTCATTGAGTCCCTGTCACTCATGTGGGAGACCCATATTGAGTTCCATGCTCCTCATCCAGTGAGCAGACAAGAGGTGTTTCTCTCTCTCTCTCTCTCTCTCTCTCTCTCTCTCTCCTCCACCCCCACCTGTCAAACAAATAAAAATAAAGCTTAAAATTTTGTTCCTTTTAAAAGATATTTTTAGTTATCTTAGTCACTTTTGATGTCATTTCAGATAAAAATGGAATTAAAGACAACTGTTGTTTTAAGTAGAGGTTAATTACTCATTCTATAATAATGACTATTTAAACATAAAACAAGTATTCACCTCATCTCAAATTATTTGTATTTGACTTTTTTAACAGTATTTAAAAACAGAACATTGTACAGGTATTTCTATAATTTGGATTCTTTGGTGTTCAAGAGGTGAAAGAGATCATTCCTTACTGTAGTTGTTTCTGTGAGAAAAAGAAGTACCAAATTATTAGAGGAAGCAAAGCCTTTCACTAGCACTTGCCACATAAAGAACTTGTCTACCTGGGACTTCCTCCTGGGAAGCTGAGGCATAGGTAAGACGGGGTTCTTCACACCATCCCTACAGTCATGTGCAATAGAGAATGATTAACAATTACTTATAGGATCTTTGATGTAAGTCAGTGATCAATGCTGAATCATAACTCATGAAAATACTCTGCTGGAGTGGAGACCAACATTCTAAACATATAACTTTTCAGAGGTCTGGCTTGACATGAGAGTGGAAACCCAAGCCCACTTTCTAACATGGAGAAGTTTAGGTTTAAATGTAAATGTAACATTAAACAGTCAGGTAGTCTATGATCATTATAGACCAACAAATAACTCAACTTGTGATTTGGAGTGACTTGTTTAACCTAGGAGAAAATGAATTCTATAATCTCTAGCAATCTCTGGTTTAGGAAAATTTGACGTTGGATTAAGCATAATACTATATAATGCAATCCTTGATCAAATTTTAGGCAAACTAATTGAACAGTGGTAACATCTGGGCTGTCAGTTGGCCCCTGCAATTTGTGTCGAATGCAATAAATTGACTGTATCAGCAATTAGAGACTTGACGGCATGAGTAATTCCAACCAAACACTGGCATAACTTTTATAACAGGTGGAAGATCTGACCTTAACTGATCATTTCAGTACAAGTTTTGTGACACTGATGTGACATTCTCTGTAATGACTGTATTGGCTTCTGCCACAACGAAATGAGGATAGTCTTTCCTAAGACCCAAGAAAGTTGATGTTTCAAGAGTCCTTTTGTTTCCAAATCATTTTGATATCTGAAATTTTAGTGAATTCATTTTCAACTTCATAAAATTGTTTGAAGAATAAAAACAAAGGAGAATTGTATCAAGATCATGTGCCTGCATTTAAAACATGACACGTGTCTAAGCTTGTGTGTTAAAAGTACTACAGTGTTAATGTTTCAGAAGTTTGCAACCTGCCCAAGGTCTGCCTGCAGAACTAACAAGAGCAATCATTTTTGTTGGCCCAGGATGGTGCTGCTCCACTGCTGTCTGTTGTGGCTGCTCTTACCGCTCAGCTCGAGGACTCAGAAGTTACCCACTCGAGATGAGGAGCTGTTTCAGATGCAGATCCGGGACAAGGCATTCTTTCATGATTCATCAGTAATTCCAGATGGGGCTGAAATCAGCAGTTATCTCTTTAGAGATACACCTAAAAGGTATTCACATCATAGTTTTTTTTTTTTTTTTTTTTTTTCTGGATCAATAAGCTTACAGAAGATGCCACCAACAAAGAAAATAGAAGGTGGATGTCTGGCACAAGTGGTTAAGACACTCCTTTGGATACCACATTTTTTTCAGACACCCTGGGTTTGGGTCCCAGCTCCATTTCTGATTTCAGTTTCCTGCCAATGCACATCCTGTGAGGCAGCAGGTAATGGTTCAAGTAGTTGGGAGCTGTCACTCACATTGGAGATGCAGATTGAATTCTGGGCTTCTGCCTGGCCCAGCCTCAGCTGTTGCCTACATTTGGGAAGTGATTCAAAACATCTCCTCCCTCTCCCCTCCTTTCCCTCTCCCTTTCCTTCTCTCTCTCTTTCAAAAATGAGAATAACATTAAAATTTTTTTTTCAAAAAGACTTTAAAATATTTATTTTAAAACACTGAATTTATTATATAACAATAGAAGATGATATTGTTATGCCATAATATAAATATGTGAATCTTATTTCATAAGAATTAGAAACTAACTAAAATACAAGTGGCCCCAAACTTTCCTCTCACATTTCTTTATTTTTTAACTTTTATTTAATGAATATAAATTTCTACAGCTTATGGATTACAATGGCTTCCCCCTCATAACGTCCCTCCCAACTGCAACCCTCCCCTTTCCCACTCCCTCTCCCCTTCCATTCACATCAAGATTCATTTTCGATTCTCTTTATATACAGAAGATCGGTTTAGCATACATTAAGTAAAGATTTCAACAGTTTGCTCCCACACAGAAACATAAAGTGAAAAATACTGTTTGAGTACTAGTTATAGCATTAAATCTCAATGTACAGCACACTAAGGACAAAGATCCTACATGAGGAGTAAGTGCACAGTGACTCCTGTTGTTGACTTAACAAATTGACACTCTTGTTTATGGCATCAGTAATCACCCTAGGCTCTTGTCATGAGCTGCCAAGGCTATGGAAGCCCCCTGGGTTCACCGACTCTGATCATATTTAGACAAGGCCATGGTCAAAGTGGAAGTTCTTTCCTCCCTTCAGAGAAAGGTACCTCCTTCTTAGATGACCCATTCTTTCCACTGGGATCTCACTCTCGGGGATCTTTCATTTAGGTGTTTTTTTTTTTCCCCCCAGAGTGTCTTGGCTTTCCATGCCTGAAATAGTCTCATGGGCTTTTCAGCCGGATCCGCATGCCTTAAGGGCTGATTCTGAGGCCAGAGTGCTATTTAGGACATCTGCCATTCTATGGGTCTGCTGCGTATCTCACTTCCCATGTTGGATCATTCTCTCCCTTGTTTATTCTATCAGCTAGTATTTGCAGACACTATTCTTGTTTATGTGATCCCTTTGGTTCTTAGTCCTGTCATTATGATCAATTGTGAACAGGAATTGATCACTGGGACTAGTGAGATGGCATTGGTACATGCCACCTTGATGGGATTGAATTGGAATCCCCTGGTATGTTTCTAACTCTGCCGTTTGAGGTAAGTCAGCTTGAGCATGTCCCAAATTGCACATCTCTTCCCTCTCTTATTCCCACTCTTATATTTAACAGTGATTACTTTTCAGTTAAGTTTCAGCACTTAAGAAGAATTGTGTATTGATTACAGTATTCAACCAAAAGTATTAAGTAGAACAAACAAAAAAAATACTAAGAGGGATAACATATCAAGTTGCTCATCAACAGTCAGGGTGAGGGCTGATCAAGTCAAAAATCAAAAAAGAAAATAACTTTTTAGACTTAGTTTAGAATATTTGCAAATCAACCTATGAATAGCATTAACTATTTTCTCTAAGTAAGAAAATATAGGTAATGAAACTTGTAACCCATAAATACAAACTAATTTTTGCTGATTGTAATCTTAGATAGAGGAAGCAATTCTTTCATTGTTTCCATTTTGTAATGATTATTTTCTTAATTTCAGCAGAGAAGGAGATTTCTAAGAAGGACTTAATAGGGTCAAAATGAAAATAATTAAATACACATGAGTTTTAAAGGTTTTGCATTTAGTTGTAGAAGGTAACATTTCTTTAACAAATATGATTAGATCTTGAGAGAATTAACAAAAGTAATATAAAACTGACATCTTTCATTTCCCTTACTCCAACTTCAAAAAAATTGGGCTCACAGAATATTTCAAAATATCTTGATCTTTAAAAAGGTTTGTGTCCTATAAATAATGCATATTTTTAAACTAATTATATTTAAAGTTACTTACTTTGCAATACTCAGACTCCTCTCTACTTTTATAAATTCAGAGTGCATGGCTAATTTTTGGATGATTAAACTTCAAAGGCAATTTATCCTTTTAACCTGAAGCAAGCTGGCATTACAAATGGTAAATCTGGTTCCCATATCATCATACCCAGGTTTGATATCCAGCTCTATCCCCTAACTCTAGCTTCCTGCCAATGTAGATTCTGGGGACAGTGAAGATGGCTCAAGTAATTGAGTTCCTGAAACCCAAGTGACAGTCCTGGATTGAATTCATGGCTCCTGGCTCCTCGCCCCCACCCCAGCTCAGCCCCATCTATTGTGGGTGTTATGGATATAAGCCAGTGAATAGGGGGGCTCTCTGTCTCTCTGTCTTTGAGTCTGTCTCTATTTCCATCTCTGTCTATCTCTCTCACTTGCTGTCTGTCTGCCTCTCAAATAATTTTTTTTACATTTTTATTCTGTCATATCATCAATAATCTATTTTCCAATGATTGAGGTGTGTCTGATCAGTGATCATTGGGTTATCTTTCCTGTTTGTGGACAATAATGGAAGGTGGGGCTCTAAACCTCTTCCATTGAGTGGCCCAGCCATTCCACCATCTGGTCAGTCTAAATGATGGTTGGAGATCGGATTTCTTATTTTGTGAAGTGAACTATTGTCTCACTGTCATTTCAGCACTTCCCGAGTGAATTTTTTTGTTTGAATGAAAGCAATAGACTGGAACCTGGCTGATCATTAACTTATATGATAACTGAATCTTTCAACAACATTCATGAGAGTGAAAACAAGGATGATTGCATTGAGGGAACTTGCTGTCCTAGTCCTTACTTTTATGCAGTCTGTGAAAACAGGAAATGACACATAAAACAGTCTTAATACTTCAAATCAATCTTAAATGTTACCTGAATTCTTGTGTCATACTGTTTGCTTTTCATATTATTTTGCCCCTTGAAAATTTTGAATGAGTCAGATAAAATCAAAGCTTTTCTTTATGAATACTTTCATTTCCTAAATGCATTTGTGCATTGCTTTGCTTGCAGTATTCGTTAAATACAACATCCTACATTGTGTAATCATATCACTTAATCCAAAAATTGCTTATCCTCTTTGGTCCTCCAGTCTCTTCAAAATTAAGCAAGTTTTGGCTCTAAGAATGCTCTTAAAAATTACAATTTTTTACAATTTTTCCTTTAAAACAGTATGTTTTATTATGGAATGTTACAAAGTAGGCCATGTTTTCTCCTTCCTCTCTTCATTTTTCTTTCTTTCATTTGTTCACTCTTTATTTTTCTCTTTGTTCTACGAATAATTTCAAGGGCCTGTGAATGAAATGCTAGCTACTGGCTATCACACAAGTTAAATAAAGAGTCTCAGCACAAGAAGGAACAGCATTTCTGAGGGTGAGATGCTGTGGTAAGCACACATGGCCATCGTTGATGCTCCAGCTAAAGATGAAACTCCAGATAGACCCAAGCAGTTGTAAATAGAAAAAGACAGCACAGTCATTCATTATTCTGATGTTTATACATAAATCCTAAAGCCTACATGATTGGTGGTGTATTTACCCCTCAGCTTTGGCATTGTCATTTGGCTCTTTGTTTCCTTAGTTTTTCCTTTCATCTCTGTCTCCCTTACCAGCCAGTAAATCCCTGAACACATAGATCATGCCCTGTTATTTTTGATGGCCATTCTCTTCTCAAATGCCTATGCATGGTAGACAATAAATGTTTGTTAAACTGTTACATCTATTCAAATTATTGTTTATCCTTAATCATAAGTGCTTCCATATGAAAATGTTGACCTAGAAAGACTCCCTGCTGCTTTATATGTGCAGTGATTACCTTGTGCCTTGCAAACATTGCTTTATTTGCTATTAGTATGGCCTGTGTTTAAGATACCAAGACACAGTTGCTTCCTTTGGGAAGTAAACTACTTACATATATGAAATGAGAACAGAAGGAAATAGGAAAACTTACATGTTGTTTTTTGCTTTGACATTGGTTAGTAATACTACCCACATAAAACTCAAAAATAAAAAAGAGGTTATGAGTGATGCCAAATAAATTAGTTTGTTGAACCTATATCTTTGTAGCATAGAAAGCTTCTATTGTGTTTATGTGGTTAATATCTCCCACTTTACCTGTCCAAATGAACAAAATTCTACTATCCAGAAAGTAGGCTAAGGGCCTGGGTTAAGTCATTGCTTGTGATGCCAGCATCCCATAGCAGCATGCCAGTCTGAGTGCTGGCTGCTCTGCTTCCAATCAGCTCCATGCTAATGTGCCTGGGAAGGCAAAGGGAGATAAAGCAGGTGCTTGGGCTCTCCCACCCATGTGGAAGACCAGGATGGTCTAGCCCAGACCTAGCTGGTGTGATCATTTGAGAAGTGAACCAACTGATGGTAGATTGTCTCTCTGTATCTCTGTCTCTCTGCCTTTCAAATAAATAAATCTTTTTTAAATAAAAAGGATAGGTTGAATTGAGAAATAAACCTTCTGATATCTGTGATTAGGAATGCCTATTATACATAAAACTTTAAATGCAGTGAACAATTTAATCATCTGGTTATGTTCTCTGGATGAATGTTTTACTTTACTTTTTGATGAACAAGCTGTGTTGGGTTTTATAGTATCTTGACTCTATTGATCCTCCCACTATCCTATCTCTACCCTTCATCTCCAAATTTATCTTTGAATAGAAAGGGGAGAGAAGTACTTATATTATTTCCGTTCAGATTCTGTATCTGCAGAAGGAAAGAGATTCTAAGTGTACTGCTTCTTAGGCTAGCGTAAGATATGCATTAACATTCTTGGGTTCTATTGATTAACTTAGAATTAATTCACCCACAAATGTTTATCCGAGTGCTACCTGTTACCTGCAGAAATCTGTGTTATGTCCTGAGCATACAGTGACTTGGAACATGAACAAGTGGCCCTTTTTCGGAAAATGACATTGATCAAATAACACCAATCTATTACCACACATTACAGATAAGTGTGTGAAATGAAAAATATAGGACACTCAGAGTTTTTAAGAGAACCTGACCCAAAAAGAGTCAGAAAAGTCATTACTGAAGAAGTGACATTTCAATATGAGTAGGGGCAGAGTGTTGAATTTCAGACCCAGAGAATCATCCCAAATATTCCAATATGAGCGAAGCATGGGAAGATAAGGAAGTCCTATATAATTTGAGTGCAGAAACCTAAAAGGGTAGAGACCCGAGGAGAGACTGATGAGGTAGATGGGGCCCCACTGCTGTGCAACCTTTGGACTATATGAACAGTTTAAGGACTTTTTCTACAAGAAAAGTTATAAAGAAGACACTCTAAGCTGGAAATCACATAATACATTTACTTTTTTAGAGATTGCTCTTGATGCAGTGTAAAGGATGACTTGAAAGTGGTAAAAGTAGATGTGGAGCCAACACTTATTCATTAGTTCATCGTTATGGAGAACTGCTTTAATCTCTGAGTCTCATCAGTGAACCAAATGCGCTACTCCTTGTAGCTTTCATACTAGTTGGGGGGAGATGGAAAAATAAAAAAATGTGAAACAATAAATATATAAGATGTCTGGTAGAAATAAGTACCTTAAAAACCAAAATACTTTTACTTCGTAAGAGACAGCGTCACAGGTAGAAAGGTGAAATTTTACATTTGGAGTCAGAATAGGTCTATAGAAAGGTGGTACTCGAGTAGAGACTGAGCAAGTAACGTCAACGCTGGGAGGAAGAGTACCTCAGATGGAGGAACAGCAAGGACAGCTGCCCTGAGGCAGGATTGTGCCATGCACGTCCCAGGGACAGCAAGGATGTGAATGAAGGAGGGGAGACCAGAGGACGAGAAATGTTTTGAGAGTTGTTTGGGGCTGAATATGAAGGAACTCAGAAGACACTGCAAATTTAGTCGTTCTTGCTCTGAAGGAACAGGGATATCTTGGAGGGTTTTTGAGCAGTGGGGTGTGGCATGTTTTGACTTAGGTTTCCAAGAATCACCCTGCCTGGATGAGGGGGTAAAAGGTGGAAGTAATGAGACCACACAAGAGATTGTCATAGTGCTCAAGTATGGGAGACGTGGGACATGGAGCAAGTGGTAACAGGTAAAGTGGGACAAAGTGGCAGATTCTGGATCTATTTTGAAAGTAGAGCTGGAAGTGTCTGCTGATCCTTGAATGAGGGAGAGAAAGAAAGTCAAGAATGACTCTAAACTGTCCTGAGAAACAACCTTACTAGGAAGGGATCCATTGCAGGAGAAGTTGATTGGGGGAGAGAATCAGAAGCTTGGATTGGATAATGAAATCTGAAATTCCCTTAATATCAGAAGCTTGGATTAGATCATGCAAATATGAAATTCCCTTAATATCATTGTGAATATGGCAAGAAGGCAGTGTATCTGCAATTAAGGCAAGAGGTCAGGCTGATAACTTAAATTTTGAAGTCGTTAACATACATAAAGGTAAAGGCATGAGCATAGGTAAGTCACACAAGGTGTTGGCCCAGCTAGAAAAAAGATGTCAAAGAGAGTAGGTGTGCGGCCTAGCTGCTAAGGTACCACATGAGATGCCTGCATCCCATATTGGAATGCCTAGGTTCAAGTTCCAGCTCCACTTGGTATTCCACTTTCCTGAAAATGTGCACCATGGGAGGCAGCAGAGATGCCTCAGGAAATTGACTTCCTCCATCAGTATAGGAGACCTGGATTGAGTTTCCAGCTCCTGGTTTTGACTTTGTCCAACCCCAACCGTTGTAGGCATTTGGGAAGTGAATCAGCAGTTAGGAGCTCTATCTCTTTCTGATTCTTTGTCTCTCTGACTTTCAAATAAATAAACAAAAATTATTTTTAAAAAATTAAATGAGATGTCCAAGCAGAGATCTATGGCTCACTCAAGAGGTTAGAGGTTACAGACGTGAAAAGGAAATAGCAATGAGGCCAACAAGTGGAAGGCTATGGTGGTCAGGTCAGGTTGGATACTGTGTTGCAGGTGGATATGGAGGGGATGGGGAGCAAGAGACAAGCAGGTGCAATGAACAAGAGGTAAAACCTGCTTTTCTTTGCCATAGAACCAGTAAGCAACTCTGGCCTGGCCACAGTAGAAACTACTGTTCTTCCTCATTTGTAGGTTAAAGGCTTGGAGTGCTAATTCAATGAAATCATTTATGTTTTTGGAGTAAGAATATATAGCATTTTTAGAGTTAAGCAATATTTTCCTCTTCCTCATAGAATCTTTTGGAGGCATCACCAAAATGTCTGAGGAAAGGCACAGAGCAGAATGTTTTCACTCTTTCATCTTGCTTTAAAATCACTCACTTTTAATCCAACAGAAACTCGTAAAGAAGTAAGAGACAAGTCTATCTTTACACACAGTGGTCGTTGTTTTTTAGAATTCTCTCCCAGATGGTAACTTGATACTTCCATACAAAAACATACGGACATGTAAAGCCAAGAATAAAAGTTCCTAGTGTAGAAATGTGAATGGATTGTTTACTTACCAGAGATCGACACACATTTTAGACGAGGTTGCTGAGAAAATGTTTTGAAATAGTTGGTGACTCTGGTAATGTGCAAATGGATCACCAAATTTATTTTAAAAAAAACCAGCATCTGTAGGGCAACATGTTGGGACATTTTTCCTGGTCGTGACTTACCTTACAATGGCAGGGCCTGTGTTAAATATTACCCAGACAGCCAGGCAAGTGTTGATTTTTAACTCAGAATCATTGTGACTGTATGTATTTTTATTATGTCACACCATGCTCAGTGATGGTAAACCTTTTTGCAGAATGTTAAGGCTTTTGATCTTCCATAGTCAATGCTGTATTTTGGTTAATAGCCAGTGGTAGTCTCTGTTAAATGAATAAAAGTGAAAACTATGTGACCTGAATACTAAGTCTTGGTTGTCAGGGTTAGAAGCATGGTTTTGGTATGAATTCATCTACTTTCCCACAGGTATTTCTTTGTGGTTGAAGAAGACAACACTCCGTTATCAGTTACGGTGACTCCCTGTGATGCCCCTTTGGAGTGGAAGCTCAGACTCCAGGAGCTGCCCGAGGAGGCCAGCGGGGAGAGCTCAGGTAAGCCGAAGCAGATCTGGCCCTGAGTTCTGTAAGGATAGTTGTAAAACATTCAACCTTCAGTTAGCAGGCAAAACAGCATAGATGTGGGGGTTAGCAGGAGCTTTAGTGGTGGAGAAGGGGGAAATAGTGGAGACGGCATCAGATGACATTGATCTTGGTGAGATAAAGTGTTAGGAGACACAGTTGGGAGGACTGAAGGAGAAAAGTTTGGACTGGCCTCTATGGCCTAGTTGGCAGTTATGCCTGGACATTAATCCCTTGGGGAGCTTTAAAAACCATGATGGCTGGACTCTGCCTCTGGACATTCTGTTTTTGTGGCTGTCGGATGTGGTCTGGATATCATGATGTTTCACAGCTCTCCTGGGACGTGCAGCCAAGATCAAAAACCCTGGATCTCAGGGGAATAAAAGGCAGGAATGACTCAAAGCACAAGGAGGCCATTAGCAGCAGTTAAAGGCCAAGATGAAGTTAGTAGGAGTGAGATGGACACTTAAGGAAGATGCAGATGGAGGCTAGGATTGTGGCACAGCAAGCTAAGATATCACCTGCGACACTGGCATCCTAATCTGAGCACCGTTCGGTTCGAGTCTCAGTGGCTCTGCTTACCACCCAGCTCTGTGCTAAGGTACTTGGGAAGGCGCAGAAGATGGGCCTCTGCCACCCACATAGGAGACATGAATGGAGTTCCAGGCTCCTGACTTCATTCTGGCCAAGCCCTCGCTATTGCAGCCATTTGAGGAGTGAACCAGTGGATAGAAAATCCTCTCTCTCTCTCTGTATGTGTGTGAACATGTTTGTGTGTATCTTCCTGTCTTTGTGTCACTCTGCCTTTCAAATTAATAAAATAAATTTGAAAAGAAAAACAGAGATGCAGATTATAGACCACAAATAGCAAGATTCATGAGAAATGAGAATGTGTATGGTGTTGTGGAAGTGATGTTCCCCTGTTTAAGGGCATCACAGCTTAAAGGTGAAGTTGTGACTGCGGGAGTTGTGCAGATGATGTTAACAAGCTGTCACACTTACAGTGAGGAGGGTATTGGAAGTGCCTCTCTGGGGTGTGATGAGACTTGAGACTTAAGGAAGAGGAATTCTGACGTTAACATAGTCGTGATTGTCTTCACTCCCATGATGTGGGAATCTGACACTGAATACCACTCACTTCCTACCTGCAGTGATAAGTGCCTATTCTGCCTGTCCAGTCCATCAGTTCCTGAAAATCCATCTATACACTGGTATCTAATATCAACAGTTAAAAAAAAGGAATAATCAGTTTGGATGCAGCACTTCTCCTTTATTATTCCTGAGCATGTACATATTTGATGCTGGAAGGCTAGGTACTTTTACTGGTGCTTTTATTCTTTATTTGAATCATGCTGTCCAAGATACTAATTAGTGAGTTATCTGGCCATCAAAATAAAGACTGGTAGAGCACTTTTGCTAGGCAGATTGACAGTGAGGATTAGCAATCTCTAAAATTTATAGTCAATGACAGAAAATTTTGCTAATTGGATTTTGTCTTGAAGAAATATTTAAATCAGAAAAGCCTCACACATACATAAGAGCATTATTTATAAAGACCCCAAATTGGCCAGCAGTATTATTTTTATAATATTAAGGGAAAAAAAACAAGATTCAAAAAGTGAAAATTTACCAAGGTCCATATATGCATGAGAGTAAGTGTTATTAAATTACAGGAAAAAAAAAAAAAAAAAAGAAAATCACCTGAATTATGTACAGGAAAAGACTGGATGGAAAGAAACCAAAGAATTCATAAAGAAGAGTTTCTGGAATTACTAGATTATAATGAATAGATGATTTTTATTTATTTTGTCATTTTTCTTTGCTGCCCAATGACTATGTCTTATTTTTGTAATGGAGAAAAAAGAGAAGATGAACTTCAAAACACAAGGTAAGATTGGCAAGCTAGGCTGCACCCTGGCATTGACCCTGTGCTGCTCTGCCGCCTTCTAGGTGACCCGGAACCTCTGGAACAGCAGAAGCAGCAGACCACGAATGAGCCAGGCACCGAGCTGTTTTCCTACAAAGGCAACGACGTTGAGTATTTTACATCCTCCAGTTCTCCAGCCGGTTTGTATCAGCTGGAACTTCTTTCAACAGAGAAAGACACCCATTTCAAAGTCTATGCTACCACAACTCCGGAGTCTGATCAGCCATACCCAGAACTGCCCTACGACCCCAGGGTAGACGTGACCTCCCTGGGACGCACCACGATCACTTTGGCCTGGAAGCCGAGTCCCACGGCTTCCTTGCTGAAACAGCCCATCCAGTACTGTGTGGTCATCAACAAAGAGCACAATTTCAAGAGTCTCTGTGCCGTGGAGGAAAAGCTGAGCGAGGATGACGCCTTCATGATGGCGCCGAAACCTGGTCTGGACTTCAACCCCTTTGACTTTGCCCACTTTGGATTTCACTCAGATCATTTGGTAAAAGAACGCAGCTTCCTCACCAAAGCCTCCCCCAAGCTGGGGCGTCATGTCTACTCGAGGCCCAAGCCTGACATTCAGAAAATCTGCATAGGCAATAAGAACATCTTCACCGTGTCTGATCTGAAACCCAACACACAGTACTACTTTGACGTTTTTATGGTCAACAGCAATAGCAATACCAGCACAGCTTACGTAGGTACCTTTGCCAGGACCAAAGAAGAAGCTAAACAGAAGACAGTGGAGCTAAAAGACGGGAAAGTTACAGATGTGTTTGTTAAAAGGAAGGGAGCAAAGTTTTTGAGGTTTGCGCCAGTCTCTTCTCACCAAAAAGTCACCTTCTTCATTCACTCCTGTCTGGGCGCTATCCAAATCCAAGTGAGAAGAGACGGGAAGCTGTTTCTGTCTCAGAATGTGGAAGGCATTCGGCAGTTTCAGCTGAGAGGAAAACCTAAAGCAAAATATCTCATTCGACTGAAAGGAAACAAGAAGGGTGCATCTGTGTTGAAAATACTAGCTAGCACAAGGCCTAGCAAGCACGCATTTCCCTCTCTCCCCGAAGACACAAGAATCAAAGCTTTTGACAAGCTCCGCACCTGTTCCTCAGCCACGGTGGCTTGGCTAGGCACCCAGGAAAGAAACAAGTTTTGCATCTACAAAAAGGAGGTGGATGATAACTACAATGATGACCAGAAGAAAAGAGAGCAAAACCAGTGCCTAGGACCAGACACAAGGAAGAAATCAGAAAAGGTCCTCTGTAAATATTTCCAGGGTCAAAACCTGAAGAAGGCGGTGACCACAGAGACAATCACTGGGCTCCAGCCTGGCAAGTCTTACCTGCTGGATGTTTATGTCATAGGACATGGGGGGCACTCAGTGAGGTACCAGAGCAAAGTTGTGAAGACCAGGAAGTTCTGTTAGTTACCCCACATGGAGGCGTGGGACGTAGGATGCCAGGAGGGACGTGACGTCACTTTAAGCATAAACTGACTACTCCCACAGCTGAGAAAAAGAGGTGCCCTTGCCACAGAAGGGAGGCTATCAGTGTGTGTTTATTGATGTTTCTAAGAGTAACTGTCGGAGGGGACTTGCTCTGGTGTGCCTCCATGGCACCTGGTGTGTGTCTGATGCTGGCTGATGTCAAAGACAGAGGACATCTCGGAGGACCTGACATTCCTTGCTTTGACCACTGCATGAACTGCTTCTAAATTATTTTATTACCTGAAAATATAAAAGATGCCATACATTGCACACATCCACAAATGCAAATCATTCCTCTCTATAGATGCTAGGAGATATATATTATATATATATAAATTATTTTATAAAGTCTTGTTTTAAATGTCAGTGTTTCTATGATTGTAAACTATTAAATTCTTTTCCTGTTAAAGTACAGATCTAATCTAAGTATTATTGAGTGGACAGCCCTCTAGTCAGTTATATTGCTATTGTAAATTCTTATTTGTTGAGTAAATGTTTAAATGCTGTATGTATCTCATGTACAAAGTTGACATACATTATATTCATGTACATAAAATTAAAGATATTAGATTATATACTGTTCATTTTCCTAAGCAATTACTTTGGTGTGTTGCATTTCTAATCTCCCTCTCAAATGGTGCCTTTCTTTAATTTGGCACCAAAATTGATGCTTTTTTAATAGTTCAAAGGAGATGATACATCCCTCTAAAGTTACTACAGTATTAGAAACAGTAAAACTTGTATTTTGGCATTGAATAGTACCCAGCTGTTCTGAGAATTGAGAGACTTCAAGGCTAGGGCAAGCCAAACACTGTTAACTCAATAAGTAGTCAAGAAATCATCCTTAACAGTCTAAAATATGTCATACTTTAAGTGTTTATTTTAAGTGCAAAATTGAGTTTTCTGAGTATTTTCCATCTGTTTGAATATTAGCAAAATAATTATTTTAATCTTGCCTTGAAGCTATTTGACAAACATCCATGAGGACTTTGGTTGGTAACAAGAAAACTACAAGAGCTGCTGTTTTATAACATTAACAACCTGCTGCTTTTAACTTTGAATTCTCATGATTCTTTCTCAAAAGTAATTTGAGTAGATATCAATTTAGGCAAAAAACAATCAACCATTTGTTAGAGACCACACAGTATAGTTTCATTCTCCACAGGTTTTATACATTCATCATAATCAGTCACAAGAACACTGGACCGGGATTCAGAAAAGTCTGGAAGTTACAATCACCTAAAATTAAGTGGGTAAAGGAAAAATCTGTGACCTCCCATCAGCTCCCTTTCCCATTTATAAACTGAGGTGGTGATAGATTTGGATAAGATACCTTCTAACATCAGAGATTGTCTTTTGTAGAAGTCAGTGATTCTAAACTATCAAGTGTCTTGATGACAGTGGAGACAGATATAATTTCTTAACTGTTTCCTTGTCCCCTGCATGTTGACCACTTTCCTGTAGCCTGCGGTCATAAGTAGCATTCCTATACAGTGCAGAATCACGATTGTTAAGGTAGCAGAAGTTGTGCCCCTTATGAAATGCACTGTTCTCACCTTAGGAGAAGACATCCCTCTTACAAGCATATCATCCAACTCCTTAGTGCTAAGAAATCCAAACAAATCGAACACATCTGTACAAACAGAATGGACCACACCTTGTCTGAAAGAATTTTTTAAAGATTAAGAACATGTACCCAGTGGTCATGTAGCCAATCTCTTCAGAAGAAGACATTCTAAAATTGACAGTGTCCCAGGGTGCCTTTGAATCAGTTGAACCAGTTTTCTCCTGTCACTCACATATATCCAAGTGTATTATACTGAGCAATTGTTAAATGGGACTAGATTTAATCAAAGAGTTACTGCAGCTCCTAAAGTGGACAGACTTAACTCTCAGATACCTCTTAATGTTTGCAAAGCCCTGGGAATCAGGCCAATTCAATTTAATGAAGCTTTGACTCTGCAGCCAGCTGTGATGGTGGTTTCTCTATAATCTGGGTAAATCTGAGTATTTTTTGTGGCCCCAGTGAAATTTGCCTGTTTTTAAGTTATAGGAAAATGAAACACACATCATGAAACTTCTATTGCTCATAAAGGAAGGGGAAAACCATTTAAAAATAAAGCTCTCATGCATAGTGATATGTTTTTATTTTTTGAGCATTCAGATAAACTTGGAACAATAAAGAAAAATGTGTTCTTAATTTACAAAAAACACAGAATGTAGCTAATATGAAGCACAAACTTGACTACATTAAGCTCCAGGATCGCTATATTGAGAGCAGAGCATTTTGAATCCCAATATAGTCATATATCATTGAGGAAGGAGGATTATTTGAAGACATTTATTTCACTATCTTTGTATTTTAAAGGACAATAAAGAACATTTAAGACCAGAGAAAAAATGAACCAATAAAAATTTTCTCATAGTTGAAACAGCTAAGTAGTGGCATTGCCCAGGCTCCCAAGTCCTGACCAGATTACAAATAACCAATTCTAAGTATAAAAAATCACCTGTGGATCATTTTCTAAGCAGAAATAAATTTTGGTGCTATTTATTATTTCTTTCTTTTTTCTTTTTTTTTTTTAAGATTTTATTTATTTATTTGAGAGATAGAGTTACAGACAGTGAGAAGGAGAGACAGAGAGAAAGGTCTTCCTTCCGTTGGTTCACTCTCCAAATGGCCGCAACGGCCGGAGCTGCTTCAATCTGAAGCCAGGAGCCAGGTGCTTCTTCCTGGTCTCCCATGCGGGTGCAGGGGCCCAAGCATTTGGGCCATCGTCCACTGCTTTCCCAGGCCACCGCAGAGAGCTGGATTGGAAGAGGAGCGGTCGGGGCTAGAACCGGCCCCATAAGGGATGCCAGCACCGCAGGTGGAAGATTAACCTACTGTGCCACAGTGCCAGCCCACTATTTATTATTTCTGAGTGACTTATTCTTCAAGGCCATTTTAGATTTCCTTAAGAATGTTTGTGCAACCTGTAACTAACCACTTCAAACTTGTATGAAAAATGTTTATAGGTCACCATGTCATTTTTAGAGAAATAGATATTTCTCATCTAGGTTTGCACACACACAAGCTTAAATCTTGGATATCATTAGTCTTTAATGATAAGCTCTTCTCTTAAGTTAAAATTATTCTGAGTCTACAAACAATCACATCAGATTATTTTCTTGATTAAATTATAACCAATGTCTGGATTGATTTTTTTAAGATATGGATTAAAAGATTAGTGCCGAAAAGACATTATGTGTTCCTTATTTTTGTTACTCAGCATACATTTGAAAAAATTAAAATTTTGGTGGCCTGAAGAGTCAAATGAACAGACTTCAATCTAAGAAATCATATAAATGAGCTTGATGTTGAACACTCAATGATTTTTAGTAGTTTGACAAAGGGGCCCAGGCTTCTTCAAGGAAATACACACACACACACATACACACACACACACTTGTGTGGAGTTCAAGAACTTGGTCTACCTGAAACCAGTCTAGAATCCCTTCCACTACTTGACCGACCCTTTTTAGAGATCATCTAGATCCACTGTCTCATTTTACAGATAAGAACATTGAGGTGCAAATAAGAACAGAATGCAGATTCCTCTTCTCCCATTCTAAGTTTCACTCAGACTTCCCTTTAAGCATCACTCTAGAAGGCATGCAGCAGCTGGCCCTGAAGATAAGTCCCTGTCTCTATCTCTGGCTAGCTTCACAGCAAAACAAAACAAAGCAAAACAAAAAACACTAGAACAAGGGCATTTGGAGCACCTCCAGCCACCTCCTACCCCACTGTGAAATGGTGTGGCAGAGACGAAATCAGCTGGGAATCTGCCGTTTGGTTCTCTTCCTAGGTCCACGCAGAGTGACGGCTGTCAGACATCAGCTGTCCTCCCTTTGTAGTTGTCTGAAGGACCTGGGAGAATCAGGGCACATTCATCACTGTGTTTTCCGCAGAGATTTTTGGCCAGAAAACCATGGAATTGGAGCCTTTGTTGTTGTTTTGAAAGTGGGAAGTGGGAGAGAGGAAGTGGAGTGTGCAGGGTATAGTTTTATTTAAGTTCTTTCTCTCACAGGCCTATGAGATCAAGAGCCCCAGGACAAAGAGCTTTGATATAGTCTGATTTCATTAAGGTTGTGCATTCTGACCTACAGGCAACCTTGCACTGGAAAATTTATCCTGGATCCCAATCCCCTCTATTAAAACTATATCCCCTTGGTAGACATTTTCATTTGCTGGGTGTGGTTGAGCATGGATCTGGGCAAGATTTCCTTCACTTCTCTTTACATTCTTCCTTCTCAACCTTTGAGAAACAAAGGAGTCACTTAGAATGGCTTTCCAGGCCCACCCTTACACCTCTTGGAAAGGTATTTTTAAATTTTCTTTCAAAGCGTAAAAGAAATAAGACCTGTTGGTTTCCGTCACAGAAAGGAAATTGGTTGAAGTGTTCAGTCTTTGGCATAGTTCCATTGTTATATTGTCACCATTTAGATCCAGATAGAGACAGGGTGGGATTAGCCTTCCCACCATGCTGAGGAAGGGACTTTGAGTCCTGGTTAAAGATCATTAAAAACCAGAAATAAGAATGAAGTACCTGAATGTAACTCACCATCCATTGGTGCCACAGGGAACTTTCATGGAACTGCAAGGTTTTCTTGAAACTTGTTAGAAATATAATTTACAGACTTTCAGCTAGAGATATATCTAGCAAGTTCTTACAATATAACTCTGCCCCGGGACTCTTCAGAATTTGAAATAAATATTTAAATTAAAACAAACGTCTAAAACAGAGAGATCAGAACAAATCACCTCTGGTTATGGATGATGAGATCCAGACAGCACGATCTAAAAAAATTAATCCTCTTGCAACAAAGCAATGTTATAAACAAGTTGTTTAGGTTTTGAATCTGGTGTTATTGTCTAAAAACGGTCATTTTTAAATGATCATTGCAAAATGTTGGCATGTCTCTCTCTTTTCCTGCAAATATCTGACAAGATTAATGTCCCATCAGATTGCCATGATATAGAAATAAGCAAATACCCAATTATTGTCTTGTCAAGTTCTCTTTATAGCATAGCACAGAATAACATAAACAGTTGTCTTATTATATATGAAGAGCCAAAATGTCCATATTTAATGATAAATCTGCCAGGATTTTGATTTTGAGAAAAATTATTTACAATAAACACAACCAAGAACATTAATAAGTACACAGCAGGCATCAGGGTGTGTTCAGTTCCATCCCTTTCCATAAAATGAAGTCAGAACTATAAAATGAGGAATACATTAGCTACTTTCTTCAGTACCTGAGCAGCAAACAGTTTTTAGAAGCAGCACCTGTGAACAGCTCACAGGCCTCTGCATTTGCCTGTACCTCTCTTTGCCCCTCTACAGGTCCTTGTGGCTGAAATAATGAGATGGTGATTTAAACACCTTACAGTTATAACAATAGATATGGATTGCTATATGAGAGGCTTGATAAGAACAACTCATACAGTCACAAACATGGCCAGGTTCCAGGAGCTGAGTTTCCATGTGTTGCAGTAGCTACAAGTAGCCTTAGCAACATTTATGGTTTCTTGCTTTTTCTGGATGTAGTAAGAACTTTGAGAGAGATAAACAAGCATTCATATAATTTTTTAAATAACCAAATGAAATCCAACCAGCTTAATTATGGCAAATGACATTTTAAAAACATACTTTAAAGTCATAACAGAGTCTCTTGGCTGTTTTAAATGGTAGATGTGAGTGTGCCCTCCCTGCTGAATACCACTTACCAAGCTTCCTCGGATAAAGAGGCCAAGCTGTAAATTACAGGCTGCTGAATTTTACCTCCTTCAATCATGCTCATGACCACGGGTTATCTTTGGCTATCCCTGGGTGGTCTGCAGGTATGGAAGAAGATGACAGAGAGATGAAAGCAGGGGAAGAATCACAATATTTACATGTAAATTGCATTTTGTGTGAGGACTAATAGCAGAGAGCTGTGCTTCAGATCCAGCTGTGTGCTGAGCAAACTTGACTGTTCTAAAACCCCAGTGCCAGGTCCTTTGCCAATTCCATGGGCAAGCATTCTGGGAGGCCCGAGTGGAAACCTGCAGATGAATACTCAGTGCAGGAGTTTCTGGTGCCAAAGCATACAGAGCACTTACGTTCTGCTACGGAAATCTTGGAAGAACAGAACTTCTGTTTTTAATATCTCTCTGGATTTAAAACAGTTCTTAGACTACTTATTACCTTTCGTAAAGCTCACTCCTACTTTAAAAGCCTCTTGATGGCTTACGTATATTAATTTTTTTTTTTTTTTTTTGGACAGGCAGAGTGGACAGTGAGAGAGAGACAGAGAGAGAAAGGTCTTCCTTTGCCGCTGGTTCACCCTCCAATGGCCGCCGCTGCAGCCGGCGCACCGCGCTGATCCTGGCAGGAGCCAGGAGCCAGGTGCTTTTCCTGGTCTCCCATGGGGTGCAGGGCCCAAGCACCTGGGCCATCCTCCACTGCACTCCCTGGCCATAGCAGAGAGCTGGCCTGGAAGAGGGGCAACCGGGACAGAATCCGGCGCCCCAACCGGGACTAGAACCCGGTGTGCCGGCGCCGCAAGGTGGAGGATTAGCCTATTGAGCCACGGCGCCGGCGGCTTACGTATATTAAAAAGAGGAAAAGAATTCTTTTTCACTCCAGTGAATTTTCTCTTCTCTGTTGAAGTTAATCAAGCTAAAAAGAGAAAGGAAAGGGGCCTGCACTGTGGCTCAGTAAGTTAATCCTCCGCCTGCAGCAGGGCATCCCATATTGGTGCCAGTTCTAGTCCCAGCTGCTCTGCTTCTGATCCAGCTCTCTGCTATGGCCTGGGAAAGCAGCAGAAGATGGTAAAAGTGCTTGGGCCCCTGCACCTGCATGGGAGACACCATAGGAAGCTCCTGGCTCCTGGCTTCAAATCAGCCCAGCTCTGGCAGTTGTGGCCATTTGAGGAGTGAACCAGCAGATGGAAGACCTCTCTCTGTCTCTCCCTCTCACTATCTGTAGCTCTATCTCTCAAATAAATAAATAAGAGAGAGAGAGAGAGAGAGAGAGAGAGAGAAAGGACAGCAGCAGAAATGATGTAGAAGTGGGACTTAGGGTTTTTTTTTTTTTTTTTTTAAACTTCTGTGGATTTGAGCATTCTTGCTTGTGAAAGAAAAAGAGTGTCAATCTCTAAGATTCCTTTTGGGGAAAGTAGGGAAACCAACAACGTTTAAGCACATGAACGCCAAATATTTGAAATAAGTTATTTAATCCTCTTTTGAACTCTGAAATGAAGACTTTGTTGTATTCTCATTGAATAGAAGAAGGCAAAGAACAATGAAATTACATTCTGTACTCAAAGTTAATACAAGGTGAGGCTGGAAGTTAAGCGTGGATATATTTGACCACAAATGTATGCACCTTTCTGTATCCATCAGTATGGGCCTGGGCTCTACTGCTTTTAGTGAAGCAATATTTCACCAGGGTAGAGTATATGAGGAGTAGATTGAAAAAAAAAAGGGGGAGAAAGTTGAAGTGTAGTCAAGGTTGGCCTGGACATTTATAAGCAAATTATCTTTAACATAGATAAATATGAAGAGCTAGAGACATAAAAGAAGTAATGGAAAAATTCTTGCTAAGTTCCTCTTGCTGTGTAGAATTTTCTCATCTGATGGTGACTTATGCCACCACAACCAACTGGCTTGATGTTTGCTTAGATATCTTATTATACAGAATTTAAGTTGTAATGCTTATATATGATATAATGTGTCTATAACATGATGTTAATAAATCTCCATTTAACGTTTTCTATGTTTTAACATATAAAGAGTTGTCTGTGGTTGCCTTTATTTTTGTTTCTGTTTTTCCTCTGCACTTACTTGTTTCATTTGTAACAGTTTTTCTAATAGCAGATATTCACTGAGTCTATTGTATGCCAAGCCCTGAGCTAGAACTTAGGTTCTGAGGAGAGCCATTAAGTCTTTTATATACATGGCAATATTATGAGACAGATACTGGTATTTGCCACAATTTACCAATTAAGAACCAAGAGTTAGAGGAGTTAAGTAACTTTCCCAATTTCTTGCATGTCATAAGGGAAGCAACTCTGAGTCAAATCCAAAGTTATAGATAAAGCCAATGCTAGAAGAGAGGATTCTCATTCATTGCTTTTCGAAAACTCTGTTTTCCATGGAATTTGCTGTCAAAAATCTACTTTTAGAGTTTGTTAGATTTCTTCTCATTTAACA